GGAGAGGAGAGGGAGTATATAGAGAAGGAGAGGAAAAGCTTATAGAGCCCTGATATAATTACTCATTTTGGGGCTGGGAATGTGGCTTAGTGGTAGAGGGCTTGCCTAGCATGCATGAAGCCCTGGGTTTTTTTCCTTAGTACCACGTAAATAGAAAAAGCCAGAAGAGGTACTGTGGCTCAAGCGGTAGAGTGCTGGTCTTGAGCAAAAGCAGCTCGGGGACAATGCCCTGGCTCTAGGACTGACAATAATAATAATAATAATAATAATAATCACATATTTTGGAGGGAGAGAGATGAAGGAATTTGCAAACAATGGCCTATGTTTTCTGTGTCAAGAGGAACTAAGGACTTAAAGGATAAGGATTTTTTTTAAGCTGGATGCCAGTAGCTCATGTCTTTAATCCAAGCCACTCAGAAGGCTGAGATCTGAGGATTTTAAGGTTCAAAGTCAACCCAGGCAAGAAAGTCTATGAGTCTCTATCTCCAGTTAACTAGCAAAAAGCTGTACTTGGAGTTATGGCTCAAGTGTTAGACAACCATCCTTGAACACAAAAGCTCAAAGACAGTACCCAGGCCCTGAGTTCAAGCCCCAGCACAAACTAAAAAATGGGGGAATAAAGATTTTGCACTGGAACTTGAAGATATAACAGATGACATGTCCCATAAAGTACATAACAAAGTATTACCCTTGGATGGCACCATTCGGAAGAATCGGGGTTTCTTCCAACAGCAGTCAGCAGCCTGCTTTCTCAGAGCAAAGAAGACTCATAGTTGGATTGATCCAGGATTGGAATAGGGGGGCTAAGGAGTGAGGAGGCTGAGAATCTTCGCACTGGTGTGCCTGAAGTGGGCCCAGGCTAGGAGGCAAAGAGAACTGGCACAAACAGAAAAGGGCCAGGCCTGCCGTCTCCATGGAGACCCCTGGGCAGGCGAGAGGACTCCTTGCTGCAAGTCAGTGTAGGAGGACTTCCTAATCCCCACCGAGGGCTAAGCTCCCCTGCTGGGTCCCCAAGGACTTGTGTAGGGACCTGTTACATCAAATGCTTCTTTGTAGGACTCGTTAAAGCTGTCAACACTGCTGTGGACCTCATTGTGGCCCATTTTGGTACAAGCAGGGATCCTGGGGTGAAGGTAGGCAAGAAAATGTGGAAAGCTTTGCCCTGCAAACCCTCACTTGATGTGTGCCACCACCTTTCCTTGCTCTTGTGCATTTCAAACCCCAAATTGGAACTCAGGGATAGGGATGGCAAGAAGGGAATTGTGAAGGTCAATTAAGAGAGAACCAAGGTCAGGCTTCTTGTGATTTCCTGAGAACTCTCCTACTGCATCTACAGGCAAAGCTGGGAAACAGTTCTGTGAGCCCCAATGTAGGCCACCTGGTTCTGAAGTACTTGTGCCCAGCAGTCCAGGCGGTGCTGGAGGATGGGCTCAAGGCCTTCGTACTAGATGTCATCATTGGACAACGTAAAAACATGCCATGGAGTGTGGTTGAGGCCTCTACACAACTGGGTAAGTACTAGGTGGCAACCTTGGGACTCTGGGCTGAATTTATAGCTGCAGAAGCTGGTTATAGGACCTTCCCCACCCCTACTCCCCAACCCCGTCTTCCTCCTAGGTCCATCTACCAAAGTCCTGCATGGCCTCTACAACAAAGTCAGCCAGTTCCCAGAGCTCACCAGTCATACCATGCGCTTCAATGCCTTCATCCTCGGCTTGCTCAAGTGAGTATGCAGAGGAGCAGGAGTTCCTGAACAATCAGTAGCCCCAGCACCTCTTCTTAGGAGCCAGCTCCCTTGACTGAGACATGAGTGGATCTGCAGGCGCTGAGTCAGGCCTCACGCTTAGCGCCGCCTCTTCCATCCAGCTGAAACCTCTTAGCAGCCAGTGCTTCCCACCCAACACACCACCCTCTGACATGGGTCTGCTTTTACAAACCTAAAACCTGGACTCTGTGGGAATGAATTGGGTATCTTTAGTTTCTCTGGGTCTTGTGAACACTAATCCTCCCGATTCCAGCTCTACCTCCAAATCTTGCTTGAAGCAAGAAGGTCCACCTTAGAACCCACATTGTAGTAATATTCATTCCCAAGTATAGGCCCCATTGTCCATTTGGGCCCTGGGCCACTTGGCCTCTCAGTAGACTTGAGTCGTATGTAGGTGAATTCCATTCTCAACTCTTTCTTGCCTATCTCCCTACAGCATCCGGTCTCTGGAGTTCTGGTTTAATCACCTCTATAACCATGAAGGTAATGCCCAAAATCTACTCTTTCAAACTCAATATAGGCCAGGCCTCGGGAAACTAGTGGTAGGGAGGCAGGTGGGCGGGCCTTCAGCCTCAGAGCTTTGGCCTTCTTCATAAGTCCTTCCTCAGTCTCCACTTTAGTTAGAACTTTGGAGGCAGCAGGAAAGTCAGGCAATCTAGAAGTCAGGGTGACCAGAAACCCCAACATCTCTAAATTGAGAGCCACCATCACTTTGGGTGGCAGTGTTCTGCAGGAGTCATCATAACCATGAACACATGGTGGGCATGTGGCCTGTGCAGCAGTGTGCAGTGGCTTGCCCAGGTTGCTTTCTAGCACCTTCTGCTTAGGCCAGGCTCTGCTTTTCTGTGTCATTCAGACCCCCTCTCTTTCCTTAGATATCATCCAGACTCATTACCAACCCTGGGGCTTCCTGAGTGCCGCTCACTCCGTGTGCCCTGGCCTCTTTGAGGAGCTGCTGCTGCTGCTGCAGCCTCTAGCCCTGCTGCCCTTCAGCCTCGACTTGCTCTTCCAGCACCGGCTGCTGCAAAGCGGGCAGCAGCAGCGGCAGCACAAGGAACTGCTGCGGGTGTCCCAGGACCTGCTGCTCTCTGCCCACTCAACACTGCAGTTGGCCCGGGCCCGGGGCCAGGAGGGCCCTGGAGACATAGACAGGGTGGCCCCTGGGGAGCGGGTGAAGGGTGTGGGTGCTCCAGCAGGTGGAGAAGAGGATGAAGAGGAGGAGACAGAAGAGGTGGTAGAGGCAGCTGGGGGCCCTGGGAGCAGCAGGTGGACCCGAGGTGGGCAGGCGGGTTGGTGGTACCAGCTCATGCAGAGCTCCCAGGTATACATCGATGGCTCCAGCGAGGGTTCTAGATTCCCTCGAGGGAGCAGCAACAGCAACAGTGGCCCTGGCAGTGAGAAAAAGAAAGGGGCAGGAAGTGGGGGGCCTCCCCAGGCCCCACCGCCCCGAGAGGGAGTCGTGGAGGGGGCTGAGGCCTGCCCGGTCCCTGAGGAGGCCGTTGGCCGGGAGCGGGGGTGGCCCTTCTGGATGGGGAGCCCGCCTGACTCTGTGCTGGCCGAGCTGAGGCGCAGCCGTGAGAGGGAGGGACCCACGGCCGCACCTGCGGAAAATGAGGAAGGGAGCGCAGAGCCTTCATCCGGGGGCATCAAGTGGGGGCATCTCTTTGGCTCTCGGAAAGCCCAGCGGGAAGCCCGGCCCACAAGCAGGTAAGAGCCAGCCCAGGTGTGGCTATGACAGTGGAGAGTCGGGTCTGAGTTGAGACACAGAAACAGCTTGCGTGTTCTCCCCCAGGCTGCCTTCAGACTGGCTGAGCCTGGATAAATCCATGTTCCAGCTAGTGGCACAGACGATGGGCGCCCGCCGGGAGCCCGAGCCCAAGGAAGGCCTGCCGGAGCCGCCCTCTCCAGCCCTGGCCTCCAAGCCTCCATGGTGAGCCTGGGAAGTGCAAAGATTAGGGGGCAGGTTTGCTTTTTGGTGGGGTTTCTCTGACCTCCATTTTTGGTTTCTCTAGTGAGGTGCAGGCACTGTGCCACCATCTGGCCACCGGCCCTGGACAGCTGAGCTTCCGCAAGGGAGATATCCTCCGCGTGCTGGGCCCAGCAGGAGGAGACTGGCTGCGCTGCAGTCGTGGTCCTGACACGGGCTTGGTGCCTCTGGCTTATGTGACATTAACCCCAACTCCAAGTCCAACCCCTGGAAGTAGCCAAAACTGAGGCCCTGTGCATGCTGTGGCCTCGGGGAACCTCATAGCCCCCAGACTCAGAGCCTGAGAGCACTTCCCAAGCCCACTGGCTTGGCCACAGACAGTAGACAGAGCTGGGGCCACATATCCCTGTGCTGGCACCTGCTCCCTGTGCTCAGTATTAATTCCTCCCGTTAACTGTCCCAGTGACCTCGTCCACACCTCCACCTAGAAAGGAGGGAAGGGACACAGCACTGGGCTGCCAGGATTTCCCCAGTCCAACTGGGACTACTCTTCCATGGGTGGGGACCAGTAGGTTCCTACAGAGGGAAGTGGCCCAGAAAGCTATTGGTAGGGCCTCCTAGGCCAAGTGAATATGAAGATGGGTAGCAGTATTGGGGCTAGATCCCTAAGGCCCCCCGCCCAAGCTGTAAATAGGCTGTGACCAGTGCCTGGTCATCAGAAGAGGGAGGAGCCCAAGCTTCTGTTTATGTATTTATTTATTTATTTATTACATCTATTAATTAAAAAAAAAGGTGCTCAGCCTCCACACTGTGTTCTTGGTGCTGTCCCCCACCACCTCTCCTTCCCAACTCTCCCTTCCAGAAGAATGACTGAGATAGAGAAAAACAAAAGGTGCTTGACTCATGCCTGTAATCCTACTCTTCAGGAGGCTGATCTGAGGGTCAGGGTTCCAAAGCCAGCCCAGGCAGCAAAGTCCATGAGACTCATCTCCAGTTAACCACCAAAGGCCAGACGTGGAATCTGTGGCTCTTCTAGTGGTAGAGTTTTAGCCTTGAACAAAAAAGCTAAGGAACAGTGCTCAGGCCCTGAGTTCAAGTCTTGTTACTCACACACACACACACACACACACACACACACACACACACACGGAAGAACTTAAATCCAGATAGGCCCTGAGTTCAAGTCTTGTTACACACACACACACACACGGAAGAACTTAAATCCAGATAGGCCCTGAGTTCAAGTCTTGTTACACACACACACACACACACACACACACACACACGGAAGAACTTAAATCCAGGTACCTAAGCCAGGAGCTGCTTCTGAGAGCTGTTGAGGCCCAAGGCATCCTGGGTCAGATGCCCAAATGTGTGACCAAACTGGAACTTATACCCTGTTTGGCCAAGAGAACCTGTCATTGTAGCCAGTGGCATGAAAAAGCCAGTTAAAATTCTCAGCCAGTTGCATGAACTCTTAAAACTGCCCACCAAAATCTGGCCCCAACTCTCCACTGTGAGTACCTCAGTTTCCCTGTCCACTTGTCTCATCCCCCACGCCACCCTTGCCTACACACACATCCCGGTCCCTGCCTCCCGCAGGCCCCTCTCACCTGGCACATAGCCCCCATAGTGGGGCAGAAGACCCACGTTCTGAAGGTAGGTTCTAGGAAGTGGGGGAAGAGTTTGGGGCTCCTTCTGGGACCTGTGCCTAGGGTGCTTTTGCCCAAACTCCTGCAGTGCTTGGTTGGTGAGCACTGGGAAGCTGGAGCCGAAGAGGAAGCGAGCACGAGGCACGTAGCCAGTGAAGCCTGGGGAAATGTGGGCACTGCGTCAAGACCTCCTGGGGCCTCCCCGTGCCCTTGGTCACTCCCCACTTCCTCTCACCTGACATGAAGAACTTCCGAGGGTCTGTGTCATCCATGGAGTAAGGAGAAGCCTGTGAGAGAAGGTGATGGAAGAAAAATAGGCCTGTCAAGTTCTTGCTCTCAAGATGAAGCTGGCAGTTGAGCCCCACCCCTCTGTACCCACAGCCATACGACCTGTGGTCTCCCTTAGACCTAGACACACCAAGCCAAGCACCCCCACCACTTCACTACCCTTTCTCTTCCCCACTCCCCACCCCCCAGCCTTCTTGGCTTTACTTGTTTCCCCTCCTGCGTCAGCTCTGGCTTTTCTGCCTCTGGCTCTTGGTGTTCCTCCGTGTCCTTTTCTTCCTTGGCCTCCTCAGGTGACTCTTGACTGCCCTGCCTGCTCCCATGCTGCTGAGCAAAATCATTGAGCGCCTCGGCCCAGACCTGGCTGCAGCTCTTAGCAAGGATGAACTGTGCCTGGGGGACAAAACCTAGGGGCCAGGGCAAGGAAGATACGTTAGTATCTGAGACAGGCTCCAGGCTGGGAACATCTGCTCACGCCTGTATACAGACCCGTGTACCCCGGGATCATGCTGCAGCTGAGTCTTTCGTGCCCACGCCTGGGAGGTAGCCTCTTCCTGGGAAACTCGGGAGATCTTGGAGGCCAAATGGGAGGCAGAAGCGTGCGGTGGGCAGGAGGCCAGGCAATGCCAGGAGGGCCTTGAAGTAGCTGACGAGTCACCTGCCCGTAGGTCTGTCCCATGCTGAACCGAAGTAGTGGGCAGTGTCCAGTGTACCTGTAGCATAGGATCCACTCACTTACCTCCAGAATCCCCCATCCCAGCATGCCCAGAGACAGGAGCAGAGACCTTAAAGCGCCCCCCCCCCCCCCCGCGTCTTTCCAGACTCAGACATGTCTAAACCCTCTGAGCCTGAGCTTTCAGCCCTTGCTCTTCACTGTTAGCAGTTCCCATGGAGAAAACAACACAATCCTGTTCTCTCACTGTTTCCTTTCCATCCAGCACCACATACACCCTAGCCTCAGGCCTCCAAACCATTATGTCAACTTGACCCCAAGGGCTAAGTAAGCCAACTCCTAGGACCCTGGATCCCCATTTCCAGAAGCCAGCAGGGAAGTAAGTAAAAATCTTACCCTGGGATATAATGAGGGTTCTGGGGCTTGAGCCCTGGGATGCAGGTGGTGGTCATAGCCAGGCAATTCCTTCGTTTCTAGCCGAGCCTGAGTGAGCCTCTAGGTTGTGTGTACTGTTGTGTCCAGGGGGCGGGGCTCTGGGGGGAGAGGGCAGGGAGCACTAGGGTGACAACTGAGCTGGCAAACAGGCTCCTGGGCCGTCCTGCCACCCGAGCAGGGAAGCTCTAGGTGGGATATAGAACAAAACCGCTGAGTCCATTCAACCCACACATCCTGCTTAAAAAAAAAAAAAAAAAAAAAAAAGCCTTGCCTGGCTGAGCAGGGTTCCCTTCCTTATGGAAGGAGCAGGAGTTACTGTGGAAAGATCAGAAGCCCAAAGAGGATACGGTAAGAGGGACACAAGATCCTAGATATCTCTGGGAAGTAACAGTAAATGTATTTTCAATGATGTCACAAAGGATTCTTTCTTGAGTACCTGCTAAAGTCTGAATCATCCACTCAACAAAATATGGCATGCTCTGCTCAGACCTGGAAGGTGAGAGAATGTGCACTATGTGGGAGTGAGGAAAACACAAATCCACGCCCCACTGTCCTCACAAAACTATTCTCCCTCTCCCCTGTGAGGTCCCAGTGAACATATATGAGTGTATTTTCCAACTCAAGATTATGAAGCCAGAATGGGGGACGTAGGGGCAAGAGCACAGGCATGAGACAAAGCAGGCGTGGGCTCCTACAGTGGTCTTGGATGTGGACCTCAACCTCTTGGAACAGGCAACTTAACTCCTGAACCTGAATTCCCTAAATCCTAATGCAAGGATTAAAACCATCTAGTCAGTACATGTGAAGGTGCTGGCTGCTACGATTGAGTTTCCTCCCCTACTCATTGTAGTAGATGATAAGTGGCTAGAAATTAAGTATGTGTAAGTATTCTTTCTGTGTGAATTCAGAGGATGAGGATACAAAGATAGAACTGGGGTATAAGACAGCAAGCAAGTTAGAATTTGTTAAGAAGTGACCCAGACTCTTAAGAGAAAGTACCAGCCAGAAGGACCAGATGTCAGACAGGCAGGGAGGATGGTTAGAATTCAGATCTGGGCTTGAGTCAGAACCAGACTGAATACCTTTCTGAGGCAGAGACTCTATTCATCTATCAGAGAGGCTGTGAGAAGTCCTATACTGACATGTTAAGAATTGTGCAAAGCCAGGCGCCGGTGTCTCATGCCTGTGATCCTAGCTACTCAGGAGGCTGAGATCTGAGGATCACGGTTCAAAGTCAGCCTGGGCAGGAAAGTCTGTGAGACTCTTATCTCCAATAAACCAGTAGAAAACCAGAAATGGCGCTGTGGTTCAAGTGGTAGAGTGCTCACCTTAAGCTGAAGAGTGCAGGGACAGCACCCAAGCCCAGAGCCCACGACCGACAAAAAAAAAGAATTGTGCAAGACACTGGGCCCCAAGGAATACAGTTCATATTCCCACTGCCCTGCCAAGGATGGCCTTGGTAAGTGCCATTTAGAATTAGTCTGCTGAACTTGGCTTATAGTTAAGGCGATCTTCCAGAGAGACTCTGGGAGCTGAGGGAACAGCCCAGAATAGTAGTGGTGTGTCAAGGTAAACAACGTGGCCTTTGGATTCTGTTGGCTGTGCAATTTCTACCTCTTCCCTCCCCATCTCCCTTTTTCTTCTTGTTATTCTAACCAGTCAGAACTTCAAGGAGGCTTGGAAAGGCAGATCAGGAATGAGTCTTGATTGGCTCCATCATGCCAGTCCCATTCCACCTGCTAAGAGCTGAGCAAAGCTGCTGACATCACCCAGAACTGGATGGAATCCTGGCATTCTGGCAATATGAGAAAGTCTACTGAAGGAAAAAAAAGACTAATTGAAATTCTAGCTTCACTGGATATGGATCTTGACCAAATTCATTGAGCCTACGTTTTCTCATCTGTAAAATGGGAAAACTAATGTTATTCCCTCAGAGCAAGATAAAGCCCATTAGATGGTGCATAATTAACTATGTCTCCATGTCGAGTGAATGTCTATGTCTATCTAGGTGCTAACTAGCTTGATGGGAATAAGAAAAGAGAGTCAAGGTCAGTAACAAATGTTGCAAGTTTGGAGGGCATTGGTGACTTACACCTATAATCCTTGATATTTAGGAGGCTGAGATTTGATAATCAGGGTTTGAAGCCAGCCTGGGCAGGGAAAAAAAATCTATGATACTCTTACCTCCAATTATCCAGCAAAAACTCAGAAGTGGAGCTGTGGCTTAAATGGGAGACCACCACAGCAAAAAAGGCAAGAGAAGGTACAAGGCATCAGCACACAGAGAGGGAGGGAGGGAGGGAAGGAGGGAAAGGAAGGGAAAGGAAAGGTAGAATTACAGGTTGAGATATGGATTAGCACACAGATACTATAACAGGTTTTTCTGCAGAGAAGACAATCATAGCTAAAATCAGGATATGGATTAAATTGAGGGGCTGTAGGTATGGCTCGGTGGTAGAACACTTGTGTGCCATGCACCAGGCTCAGCACCTCGGGAAGGAGACAGAAACCAAGAAATGAGTTAGATAGTTACATTTCAGATCTAGCAGGAAGCCTGCTCTGGTTGCCTGTTGCTTTTATTTCCATCCATGCAATTAATATTTCTAAGGCCCTGAGTTCTACTTAGGAAAGGGTGAAAAGGAATTCTCATTGCCTCCACCCAGTGGGTAGTCATCACAGTAACCCAACCACAGCTCGCTCCTTCTGGGAGCTGCCACACTCACTGCCAGAGTTGGGTGTGGCTGTGGAAATATTTATAACTCGAGACAGCATCTCATGCAAGATGAAAGTCCACTAGGAAAGCAGCTGGCAGCAGCCCGCCCACACTGCTAGGTCTCCGGAATGGTAGTCCACAGCTTTCTGATCTGCCTTTGATCCCATCCAGGAATTGCTTGGAGATTTTATACAGATCTCACACCAGTGAATTAATTGTAAGTCAGCTTTGCTGCAAGGATAAATCCCCTCTATTAGAATGAGGTGGTTTTTTTTTTTTAAGTGAGACTTTTGAAACAAGTTCCCAACTCAAAAGGCCATGAACATTTTAAGAAGTGGGAAGAATAAACTCCAAAGAATTATATAAAACACAAAGCCTTGTTTTGTTTGTTTTTAAAGGTTTGGCTGCAATAAAACTGCATTAAAAGAAAAATCCAGAAATTAAAAGCATGGGACTTCAGATGGTGTAAGACATAGTAGTTAGATGCATGTTGCTGTCAAATGTTACTTTTGTTTACCCTACTGCTTTCATTCATTTATTTTCTCTTTCCTTTATCCCTTCTGTTTTCTCTTAATATTTCTGTCTTCTTCTCTTTCTTCCTTTTGTTCCATATTGAGGATTGAACTCAGAACTTGCATGTCTGCCACTTGAGCCACACCCCAGTCCAGGAATAGTTTTCATGAATGCTTATTTTATTACACATTGCAACAAAAGATAAAGCAGAGCCAAATGCCAGTGGCTTAAGCATGTAATTCTAGCTACTCATGTGTGCTTGAGATCTAGGGGATCAAGGTTTGAAACCAGCCCAAACAATGACGTCTGAGAGACTCCATCTCCAATAAATCAGAAAAAAAGCCAAACTGGAGGAGACTGGGCTCAAATGGTAAGAGAGCTAGCCACAAGAGAGCAAACCTAGCATGCATGAAAGCCCTGGATTCGATTCCTCAGTACCACATAAATAGAAAAAGCTGGAAGTGGTGCTGTGACTCAAGTGGTAGAGTGCTAGTCTTGAGCGCAGACAGGTTCAGGGACAGTGCCTAGACCCTGAGTTCAAGCCCCAGGATTGGCAAAAGAAAAAGACGGGGGGGAGGGAGGGAGATAGAGAAAGGAAGGAAGGAAGGAAGAAAGAAAGAAAGAAAGAAAAGAAAAGAAAAAGGAAGGAAGGGCTGGGATGTAGCTCAGTGGCAAAGCACTTTCCTAGCAAGTGCAGCGTCCTGGGTTTGATCCCCAGTACCAAAAAAGAAAAGACAAAAAAATACAGTTAAAAAAAAGAAAGAAAGTAAGAGAGAAAGAAAGTAAGAAAGAAAGAAAAAAAAGGAAACAACTTTTTCTGAAAAATTTACTGAGGTAGAGGAGGGATGGAAAAACAAGCCTTTTCTAGCTCTTTCAGTGGAAAGGAGAGCAAGCAGACCTCTGCCTGTGCCATCATCAGCTGGGAGCTGGTGGCTCATACCTGTAATCCTAGCTATGCAGGAGGTTGAGCTCTGAGGATCACAGTTCAAAACTAGCCTGAACAGGAGAGTCTGTGAGACTCTTATCTCCAATTAACTACCAAAACTCTAGAAATGGAGATGTAGCTCAAGTAGCAGAGCACCAGCCTTGAATTTAGATAAAAAAAATTAGCCAGGTATCTGTGGCTCCCACCTGTAATCCTAGCTTCTCGGGAGGCTGAGATCTGAGGATTGAGGCTTAAAGACAGCCCATGTAGGAAAGTCCATGAGACTCTTATCTCCAGTAAACCACCAGAAAACTGGAAGTGGCGCTGTGGCTCAAGTGGTAGAGTGCTAGCCTTGAGCTGAAGAGCTGAGGGACAGCGCCCAAGCCCAGAGTTCAAGCCCCACAACAAACAAATAATAATAATAAATATAACTATAAATAAAATTTTTAAAGCTAAGGGACAGAGACTAGGTCCTGAATTGAAGCCCCATTCAAGGTACCAAAAAAAGCCATTATCATGTGTGTCATGCATCTCCTTAGGATTCTGAAGTCTGAGAGGTTAGATTACTGGCTCTGTCTCCCAGGGACCAGCCCAGTATGGATTATAAACATGCGACATTGGAAGCAGCCAATGTATGTCCATAAGCAAGGGAGCCATGTGTCCATTCACCATGGAGTCTTTCAGGAATACCTTTTCTCAATATATATATATATATATACACAGACATATATATATATATATTACACATTATATACATGCATATATAATGGAAATAGGAACTGGAAGGACAGCAGCATGGAGAAGAGCAGCTCTTGCTTGGTGGTATGATTATGATAAATGTGCACTGAAGAATCTCTAGGGAAGGT